CCCAAAAGCCCACATCTTGATTTAGGATGTCTAGCTTCTAGATCTGTGAGAACAAGAATTTTCTGCTGTTTTTAAGCCACTCAGTTTGTAATATTTTGTTGTGACAAGATCTATATAGGCATCATAAGTACAAAGCTATCCCAACATACTGTCATGCAGACAAGTTCAAATAATCTATCAATTAAAAATACATACATTAGCATTCTCCATTTTAAAAATTTATTTATTTATTTGTTGTTTTTGGCCAGGGCTGGGTTTGAACCTGCTACCTCTGGCATATGGGGCTGGTGCCTTAACTCCTTTGAGCCACAGGCGCCGCCCTTGTTTTTTGTTTTTTTTTGAGACAGAGTCTCACTTTGTTACTCTTGGTGAAGTGCTGTAGCTTTATAGCTCACAGCAACCTCAAACTCTTGGGCTAGAATAATTTTCTTGCCTCGGCCTCTCTAGTAGCTGGGGCTACAGGTGCGTGCCATACCACCTGGCTATTTGTGGAGACAGGATCTCGCTCTTGCTCAGGCTGGTCTCCAGTTCTTGAGCTCAAGCAATCCACCAGCTTCAGCCTCCCAAAGCCAGGATTACAGGCATGAATGATTGTGCCCGGCAACATTCCCCACTCTTACTAGCCTGGTTATAGTAATCTGAAAAAAAATATTTTTTTACAACTAGAATTGTTACACAATTTTCCTGGCACTTACTGAATTGAGAGAATGATACAAGCTCAATCAGGAATATGTATTAAAAGAAAAAATATACCTTTTATAAAGAACCAAATATCTGTAGTTTCTATGCCCTCACACACAAGTGATAAGAATGAATGTCATGACTAATACAGTAATATAAAACTTTGAAATAGGAGTATCCTGCTAGAATGAGCCTACTTTATTTCTTATTATGCCCCAAAGCAAAATTAAATTTTATGCAGAGATATATAATGACTGTTCCAACTTACCAAGATGTTTAAATAGGTAGTGTTAAATTTTAAGAGGCACACAATATGTTAGTGAAAACTTGGGGAAAAAAAAATCTCATCATCTATAATAATCACTTTCATATTTATAACCAGACTACATATTACACATTTTTCTATACTGCTACTATAACTACTTATAATGGCTAAGAAACAGTTCAGATTGACTAAGTCATAATATATGCAACTGTTCATTTTCAATTAATCATTTTGGTTGCTTTTAATCTAATATTAACATTACTGTGTTGAATAACTTCATTTAAATCCTTTCATATTTAAATATGAAAGTCTTAGAAAAGCCTTAGAAAAGACTTCCAGATATAGGAGCGACATTAGAGAGTATTTTAATGGCTATTCCTTAACTGTTTTCTAAATGGCTGATGTCAATTTATAATGCCATGATACTTAAGAGTAATAATTTCACTATGTGAGAGCAGACCACAAAGAGAGAAGAGACCATATATCCTATTAATGAAATTCCAAAAAACACTGTGTAGTTCTATGGCATCAATCTAAATATATTGTATTCCATAGGCAAAAATATTTTCTACGTGTTTTTTTGTGATAGATCACAACAAAATGAAAGGACTGGGTTAAAAAGATAATCTTAAATATGCATAATAAAGAGGCTCTTAAACAGTACGTTCTCTGAAACACTATAGGTTAGTTATACTGGTAAAACTCAGATGAAATAAAATCTCTACCTATTATCATTTACATATGATGAATCACTCACTTTCAAAGCTTTTATTCATATTATGTTGCATGTGGACTTTTAGGGTTATGGATGATTTCTGTATGGTTATTTCCAAGTAGAGAATTCATTTGGATCTGGCTCAGGTAAAATTCTATAACATGTGTATCAAGCTGTAGCAGAAAGTACTTCCCAGGGGAGTCATTATCTTACCTCAACTACCTTTTCATTTGCTATTTCCAGCTGAGAAAGCAGCTCTTGGGTATAAAGTTTCTGTCGACTCAGCTCACTCCTATTAAACAACAGAACCAAAAAACAAAAAAAATTCCATTAATATAATTGCTAAAAATCTAAAATGGCATCTTTATTAGCAAAATACATGTTCTCGTTTTGAACAAAAATATCATCTTAATGTGCAAAATAAAGTCACATTAGTAGACCATATCTCAAAGAACTCATTTGTTTCCTTATAAATATACATATATTATGGAGGCTGGTTACAACAATGTGTATATACTTAACACTACTGAACTGTATGTACATCTAAAAATAATTAAGATGGGGAATTTTATGGGTATTTTGTCACAATTAAAATTTTATTAAAGGGGCGGTGCCTGAGGCTCAAAGGAGTAGGGCACCGGCCCCATATATCGGAGGTGGTGGGTTCAAATCTGGCCCTGGCCAAAAACTGCAAAAAAAAAAAAAAAAAAATTAAAATTAAAAATCACCATTTATCACAATTAAAATAACAAATTTTATGTATACTTTACCACGACAAAAAAGTAACACAAAACACATACATTTTAAAGGTGTGAAAGTTATCTTTAATACTATTATCTAGGGAAACTATTAGAAATTAAAAAAGAAGTATACTCACATAAAGAAGATACGGTGTTTGTTATTACAAAATCTCATAGGTATTTTTAAGATTCATACAGCGTGCTTCTTAGGGTAGCTTAACTTTTGGAAACTTATGTTAACATTAATCATGTTGACACGATTTCAGTGCAGGATATTTAGGACTGTTGTTTATGTTTTGGTTGTATATGCACTATTATTTTACTGATTCATATCTTCTATGCTTCTTTTTTTTTTTGAGACAGAGCCTCAAGCTGTCCCCCTGGGTAGAGTGCTGTGGCATCACAGCTCACAGCAACCTCCAACTCCTGGGCTCAAGCGAGTCTCCTGCCTCTGCCTCCCTAGTAGCTGGGGCTATAGGCGCCCGCCACAATGCCCGGCTATTCCTTGGTTGCAGCTGTCATTGTTGTCTGGCGGGCCCGGGCTGGATTCGAACCTGCCACCTTAGGTGTATGTGGCTGGCGCCCTAGCCACTTGAGCCACAGGTGCCAAGCCTCTTTTATGCTTCATTAGCTGAAATTATCTTATGGACACAACTGTCTTTTTTGTTGTTGCTCTTCAACATACAAGCATTACATGCCTTTGGTCTAAGATCACCTCAAGAGTCCCAGTTTAGGAATAGATAAACTGTAGTCTTAAACTAACTTAAATTAGAGAAAAGATAAAGTCAATTTCTGAGTATTAAAACAGTTGATTCAGTATTGGCTTTTATCCTTTGAACTTGTTTGTGCTTATTAAATCAATCAACAGATTAACACTTCCAAAATAACTTCAGCTTTGCTTTTTTAAAATGAGCCATGCAAACAACCTAAAAGCTCTCTTGTGTCCTCTATTTTTTGCATGAATAGTTGTTAAAAGTAGCAAGTAATCTGTTATAAATATATAAGACAGAATAAAAAATAATGTCTACTACTCAAGTACACAAATAATTCCTGAATGTTCATGATGGGCTGGGTACAAGGACATGATGATAAGCATAGCTGCTGCCACCACAGAATTAGAGTGAGGAGGCTGCTTATTCTAACTCAGTGGCTTTATCAATACACACTCATTGACCAGGAGTCATTTTGAGTATATCTATTATTAATTTCCTGGCAGGCAAACTGAAATGTTTTATTTTAGCTTTATTTTTGTGCTAGTAATAATCAAGAATAAATTATTATGCTTGATTTAAAGCATACTGTATAGCTTAAAATTACCTCTCCCCAAAACAAGAAAAAACAAAACTAGTGGTTCTCAATCTTCCTAATGCCACAATGTATTTTCATTGTTAAAAAGGGGTCGCAACCCACAGGTTGAGAACCGCTGAACAAAACAAAACCAAAATGACTCAAGTGGCTAGTCTTCTATGACAAATGTGATTAAAGTTAAAAATTACGCATATTAACGCTGATGAAAAGTACTGTGAATATAGTTGAGATTAGGATGAGACAATAACCACATTTATGAAGTTAGCCAACATTCAGTTTATTCAAAACCACTTCAAGAAAACACATACTACATAATTTGATGACTAAACTATTCACTTACTTACACAAGGCAATTATCTCAATGAAGGGAAAGTAATGATTTTCCATAAGATTTAAAATCACAAAGATACAAATCATTACATGAAAACACACTTTTAAAGGATGTAAACATTTATCTCTTTGTATATCAAACTCTGTCATCCCCACTGGATGGTAAGCAACTTTGTTAGTCATTTTTGTATCCTTATAATCTAGTTATAATTTATAACAACAGAGTTTAGCAACAGTGGAGATGATGATGGTGGTGGTTATAACAGCAAATAATTCATAATGTTTTCTTACTATAAGCCAGGTACTGTTCTAGGTGCTTTCATAAATTAACTTAATATTTAATTTTCACAATTTCCTCTAAAATCTCCAATTTTACATCTAATATAATTAAAAGACAGAGAAATTCAAAAATAAAATAACTTACTAGAGTCAAGTATCTTGTCAGTGGTAAAGAAAGGATTAAAAAACTGTGCTTTTAACCCAAAGTCTGTGCTCTTAACCACTGCCCTGTACTGCAACATGGCGGGCAATTGTGGGACCACTGTTGTATATGTGGTCTATCACTGACCAAAATAATCGGTTCGGCACCTGTACTCAGTGGTTAGGGTGCTGGCCACATACACCAAGATACACCAAGGATGGTGGGTTTGAGCCAGGCCCAGGCCTGTTAAACAACTGCAACCAAAAATAGCTAGGCATTGTGGCAGGCACCTATAGTTCCAGCTGCTTGGGAGGCTGAAGCAAGAGAATCGCTTAAGCCCAAGAGTTGGAGGTTGCTGTGAGCTGTGATGCCTCAGTACTATGAGGGCAACATAGTGAGATTTTTGAGACTCTGTCTCAAAAAAAAAAAAAAAAAAGAAAAAAGAAAAGAAAATGAAAAAAAAAAGAAGACACAAAATAATGTTATGCAGAGGATGATTCTATTTGCTGATTTATGGCTAACTTTCTACAGAAAGTCTATCAGTTGGAAAGTTTATTCTGTATTTTCTCAACAAACATTTACTGAGGCATCTACCAGGAAAACATGTTTTAGAAAAATGTTTTTATTTATTTAGACCTATTTATATCTTACTTCTTTTTACAAAAGATTTCAAGTGGCTAAGAAAACTTTATTTTTCATTTAAGCGTTTCCTTCCATCTTATGGTTATCTCCTGAATGAAATTTTAGAAGGTACTAAAAAATAAAAAGTGATTTCATCAACTCTGTCCTCTGGGAATTTCCTACAGCCTGGCTGTCTGTACTTTGCAACTCCTTATTTGTCTGTCAGGATATTTCATTGCATGCATAAAGGAAAGACCGAGGAGGAAGCTCCAACTCTGTATTATCTAGGAGAAATTTTTCCTTCATTAGAGAAAATAATTGAGAGTTCCCTGTATCATGAGTGATTTAGGATAAACATTAAATAAGGCTTTCCAGAAAACTTTCACAGTGGTTTTATAGTGGAAGCACATGCCAAGTAAAGCTATATAATCTCTCCTTGGGAAATTTTTAAAAAGAGAAACATTCTTGCTTATCAGTAATGATTACGTGTGGACTGCCAGAAGACACAGATGTAGGATGACATTTCCAGTTTCTGTATGATGTTATAGTACTGCAGGAGTATTTCACACTAAATAATTTAAATAAAACTGTCCCTAATTTCTCTACAATTTCTGGCATGCTGCATTAATGTGTTATATTTTAATTATCTTCCACTAATTTTAAAATCAGTATAGAAGAATAAAGAATCCCTTGGAGTGTCACTGGGAATTGCTTAGCTCATCAGAATCCCACACATTTCTAGTTCACTTATATAATTCATATTTATGTGACAGAAAGTCCTAGTCATGCCCGCAGAATAAAAACATAATTGCATAATATGATTTCTGTGTAAGTAAAATTTTACTAAATAATTTATAAAAAATTTATGCTATATCTATTAAAAGATTAAATACTTTAGTAAACAAAATACTATAATTGACATTGATGTCTTCAAATTAGACCATTTGTAGGTTGTCAGGGTTATTCAATAATCTATAGCAAGTATTCCCTGTCTGGACTATAGTTTACTTTTTTAACTTTTTCAGGTTTTACATCAGCAGTTCTCCAATTTAAGGTGGCAACAGATGAAGGGTGAGAACTTACAGGAAGGGTTCCTAATATCTCGTCCAGAAACAGTAAACAGGTATATATACAAATACCATGAAACTATATTTGGTACCGCTTGTGTTTCTTTACCTTTTCTTAAAATAGGGTCCATATATTTTATCAGATTTTTCTAGGAGGTCTGAGGCCTAAGGAAGGATAATTTTGTCTGGAGTTTTCACCTGGAACATATAAACTTTTTTTTTTTTAAAGAATAGGTACACTAGTTGGAATGTTTCAATGTTTAATACCTTTATTGTATAAACTAGATCCATAATGTATCTTCTACAATTATTTCCACTTTTGGTTTTATTCATGTGGCACAAGAATTTAGAAGGCCTTTCGTAAACAATCCAACTGAAAAATTATTCTAAATTTTTATAGTATTACTCTGATT